GGAGTAACATTTGTATTTCTGCTTATATAATCAAGAAGTATCTATTGAATAACTGATAAAAGGGATAAACTGATTTGAACTCTGGAGATACAATAATGAACAAAACAGATATGGCCCTTCCAATAAAGTTCTTATATTCTTGTTGAAGAAGTGGGAAGAGAAAGAGAATAAATAACAAATAGTATACTATCATAAAATGAGAAGTGCTATAAAGCAAACTGAGACAAAACGTGACATAGTTTTCTTCGTTAGGTTTGATGGCCAAGGAAGGCTTTTCTCAGGAGGTCAGTTTAAAGCCAAAGTGATGAAGGAAGTGTGTTTCAAAGGTTTGTTGACAAAGCTTTATACAATGAACAAACAGCAAAGGCAAAAGCCTTGTTGCAAGACTAAGAAGTTTATAATTTTCAGAGAAAATTGGTAAGTAAAAAAGAGGAGGGGACTGAGGAAAGGAGAGGGAAGGAGAAAGAGAGACAGAGACACAAGAGAAGTAGGCAGAAACTTCTACTTACTGGAGTTTTAAATCAGCTTTGTTGAGATATTATTGAAACATGAAAAACTGCTTATATTAATGTCGTACAACCTCTCTGCTAACTTCTGGTTATCCTTGGTTTGTGGCAGCTTAATTCTAGTCTTCACATACTGATCTTATTCATGTGTTGGTTTCCAAATTTCCCCTTTTTATAAGGAAAATTATATTAAATAGGGACTGACACTATTTCAGTGTAACTTCATTTTAATTACAATCTGAAATGCTAAGAAATAAGACAAATTTTAAGGGCACATAATTATCTTTAACACTGCATCTATTTAAAGTATACAATTGCATATGATATGTATATCCTATGAAATCATTGTCACAATCAAGATAACATGCTCTTCACCTAAAAAAGCTTTCTCTGCCTTGGTGACCTCTTTCCGCTGTCCTTCCATATTTTTCTTCATTTTTAGGAGCTGTTAATATGCTTTCCATCTTATAACTAATTTGTATTTTCTATAAACTGAAACATGTGTAACGTAATTTTTTTGGTCTTTTTTTAATCACAAAATGTGATAACCACAATATGCCAATTTAAGAAAGAACTCACCTAGCAGATTAGTAAATTCTGGATGTGTTTGTGAATGATCTTATGCTTGAGGTTCATTAGGCTTTTGGACTGAATTTATAGTTTTGATAGTATTTGTATACTTTTCAACCTTTGTATCTTGAAATATTTTTTCTGTATTTTTTTCCTTTGAGATTCCAATTTCATATATATTTGAGATCTTAAAATTAACCTAAACACATTGATGATCTGTTTTTTCCAGTTACTTTTCTCTGTGTATTTCATTTAGAATTATTTGCTTTGCTGTGTCTTCAGCTTCACTAAACTTCTATGCAGTTTCACCTGATACTTTAATCAACCCAAAAAATACCTTATCTGTTAATTCTATTATTTGTACCAATGTTGAGTCAATTTCAATTAACATTCCCCTCATTATGAATTGTATTTTCCTGCTTCTTTTTATGTCTAAAATTTTTTATTGAATGCTATATATGGTAGATTATATTTGTTGGGTGCTGAGTATTATTATAGTCCTATAAATAGTCTTGATCTTTATTATATGACTCAGTTATGTTACTTGGAAACAGTTGATCTTTTTAGGTAGGCTTTTAAACTTTGTTAGGAAAGGCCAGGACAATGTTTAGTCAAAGGCTAGTTTTTCATCACAATCAAAGCATAATCCATTTTTAGTGTACTACTTCATTTTTCATGAGTTAGAAGATTTTCCACTGTTACCGGCTGGAGCAGGTTCTAGAGATCATTCTGTGTGAGTCTAGGATTGTTTTCTTTAATCTTTTAAAGTGTTTTCTTTCCAGCCTCAGCTAGTTTTGTCATATGCATCAGTTTATCAGTTTTCAGATGAACACTCAAAGAGATCTACAAATTTTCACAATTCCCTCTCTGCGCAGCTCTGGCCTTAGCACTAGTCTCTGTGAACTGTCTAGTTGCTGTGAGTTCCTTTGACTCCCAGGCCCGTCTCCTTAATCTGGCACTTCTGGCCTCTGTTTTAGTATCTCTCTCTGTACTGTAGCCAAGGAACGTTTTCTAGGGAGTAAAATAGAGTTCTTTTATTTATTTTCATATCTCTGGAATTACTTACTGTTTTTTAAAAAAGCAAACCCTGATGTTTAGTGTATATAGAATCATTATTTCATTTATCTTTTCCTGTTTTATAGTTATTGTAACTAGGAGAGTAACTCTGGATCTGAGGTTAAATTTAGTCTTCCTGCATTCTTTTAAGAGTATGGGATTACATACATGAGTCCCACTTTAAAAAGAAAGTCACTATCCAAATGTATATTATAGTTTTTCTAATAACTAACCAAGTATATCAAGTAAAGTACTAATACCCCAGAGGTGGTTAAAATATAGTGAATAACATTATTACAGTAAAAGGTATTACAATTAGTCCCTCTCAGACTATTTCCCCGCCCCCTGCCACTTTGAATATGCTTATTTTATTCTTGACACTTTTTGAAAGCAGTCCTGAAAGTCCTATTTTGCGAGTATCCTTATGAGATGTTATAAAAAATACAGTGAATGCTCTTACCAAGTGCCATTCAGCAGAAAGGCAGGCTTGTAAACCCATTGTGGTATGTCATCTTATTCACTATGTTAATTCTGGCTCTTTTCCAAAGTTAAAATAACCATGAAAGGTAAATATTTTGAGTCAATTCAGGACATCAAGACAGCCATGACACTGCAGTTAAAGACACTCAGAAAAGATTTCCAGAACTGCTTCAGAAAGTGGCAGAAATGATGAGATAAATGTGTTCGAAGCAAGGCAGAGTATTCTGAGGAGAACTGATGACAATATTTCTTTTACTGTAATAATTTTTTACTTAAACATTCATTATATTATTTGAATACATATTCAAATAGAGAGCATTCCTGAATCAGCATTTTATGTGCCAGAAGCATGAATTCTATTGGAAAGACTTAATATCCTTCAGTTTCCATACTGCTGCCTTAGCATCTGGTCTGAATCACTTAAACTTAAATTTGCCACCCCATTCCCTACTTTCAGAGTTCTCTTACTGCATCATAAAGATTTAGGGGAGACTAGATACATTCCTAGCATCTACCTATCAAACCGACCCAAATTTTGCCTGAAGATACCTGTGTATTGTGAGTCCATACATAACGAACTGCAACTCTGGTATGTGAATTAAGTGAAAACCTATACTTTTGTAACAGATATTCGAGTCTTACCCAATCACCACAGCCAAGGTTTTTAGTAAATCTCAAGTAGCCAGCTGATCAGAACATATACATGTAAGGCCTGTGTTGCCTAGCAAGCGTTTCTATACTTCACTTCTGCTTTCTTTCCATAAATGCTGCCTGTCCATGTTTGGAGTGGAGTTCTCTGAACCTCTTCTGGTTCTGAGACCTGCCTGATTTATGACTCATTCTTTGTTCAATTAAACTCTACCAAATAAATAGTTCTTCCTAAAATTTTGCTTTAACATATCTCAGACTATGCCTCAACTTACCAATATCCTCCAGGAAGACCCACTTACACTGGGCATCATTTTTTCCCCTGTAACTTTCATTAACAGTAAAAAGAGTAGGACAAGTGAAGACTGATGGGGTTGTCAATAGCCTATAAGAATACCTATGATTGAGCATCTACCATATGTCAGGGTTCCACATATTGCCTCTAATCTTTTTAAAATTAATCAGGAGGAAGGCGTTAGGGAATCAGAGAAGGCTTTACAAAGGGGGTGCTTTCTTGGGTAAACCCTGAAGGCAGGTCACAAAGGTAGGTGAGAGAAGGCATAGAATGAGTTGTATCCCAACAGAGGGAATGGCATGTGTAAAGTTTTGCAGGCAAGAAAAAAAAAGTGTCTATTATGAGAAACTCAGTTTGGCACAAAGAAAGAAAGTGGAGGAAGGATGTGGCTTTAAGATAAAAGGAGGAGCCGAAAGATAGGGAATGATGAAATGGAGCTAAAATAAATCGTGTGGGACTTTGCAAATGATACCAACTCATTTGGACTTTTCTTGAGGATAGTTTGGAAATGCCCCATGCATGTTTGGCATAATACCTTAGTTACAGTGAGGAAAAATAATTTAAAAGAGTAAAACTGAGTAACAGCTATGGAGATGGAGAAAAGTGTACATTTGTTCCAAAAATTCAGTAATGATATAGGTACTCTCTCAGTCATTTGTGCCTTCAACAAATTTATTGACTGCCTCCTAGATCCTGGGCCCTGTGACTAAAATATTTGTCAAACAATTACATGTTGTACTCTAACAAATTAAGTATGTTTTACTGAGCCCTTTTGTGCCAGGCATTGTGTTGACTTCCAGAAACACTGCTATTATTTTTAATAGGTGAGACAACTGAAGTAAAGAGGGGCAAACACATGAATGACATAGCTAGTAAATGACAGGGCCTGAATTTGATCTCAGGTCAGTTTAACATCCTACTAGATTTGATCTTGTTATTTAAATTCACACATCTAAATTATCCTTCATATCTTTTCAAGTATTAGGAAAAATTAATTCAAACTATACACATTTTTAAATCAACAATTTGTAGGTCAGTTGCCCTAGATTTACATGAAAATAGTTGTTATTGCTTTCAATATGAAGAATAATTTTATGCCTCTACTGGGGCAGTTAGGTGACATTTGGAGCACTTAAAACCTCAAACCAATTTTCATTCCCAAGACTTCCACATATGGTGTTAAAGTGGTTTCTTTCCTATTTATTTTCCCCCATTTTGTGGCTATACTTTATTAATATTAAAAAGGGTATGTTTAAAAGAGAAATTTTATTTTGAAATAGGAGAGAGGAAAATGCATACTAAAATAATGTCAGAATTTCCAGAGTAAGATATCGGAACTTGTTAGTTTAAACACATTTTATTTGGGGTTTGATATGAATTTTCAGTAGATGTTTTTCAGATAAGAAAGCAGTAATTCAAATACAGTTATATAAACAAGATCAGAGGGGAATTATCTTGAAGAGTATAAAACGAACCAAGAGTCTGGGTCATCACAGCATCAGCTCACCAATGCAAAGTAAGGTAAGTGCCTATATTGAGAAGCCTCTGTGAAATGAAACACTTTTATCCTGAATTTCTCTTATTTTTACAGTTATAGAACATATTTTAAAATTGCAAATGCCAGAGATAATGTGCTTCATTAGGCTGTAGATTTTTTAACTACTGTTCCAAATTATACAGTGGTAGGTCAAGGTGAGTGAACTACATACATAAGGATAAGAAAAAAAAATTTAATCACCTTAAAGGAGAAGACACAATTGTCAGTTTCCTAATGAATGGTGTTTAATGTGTATGGATTTCTCACGTTATCATTTTGATTTAAATGTTTTTATCAATTTAATAATCTGTGTATTAAATAGTCTCCATTATTAATGGTAATTTTTGGTGAAAATATACTAGAAAATCTAAAATTCAGCTTTTAGTGCCTTCAGGGATAACACTCTGTGTTTCAAAATTTTTTTGGTTATTTAATAGTGTAACCACCTTGAATAGTATCCAATACACACACACACACACACACACACACACACACCCCTAATAGTATATTTTTTGTCTGGAAAAATATATTGCTTTAATAAGAGACTGTTCATAGGGTAGGAAATTCATTCTTTTTTGTAGCATGGTAATGAATTTGTGAGAATAGATTGATAAAGGAAATTAACAGAGTAGAAAGAAATGTGTTCATTAAGAATAAAATTAAAGCAAAAACAAGAGAAAAAGGGTAGAGAAAGGGATAAAGGAAAGAACGTATTTTGGAATAAGGAAAAAAATTGAAAGTGGGGACATATTTAGTCATGGTGCTGAAGAAGGAAGGCTATCATTATTTGAGTTCTGTCGGAAGTTGTGACTTGTCTTTAAGTGATCAGCAAATTATGATTTTAGAAGGGGCAGTTAAATTGCAGAGATGAAAACAGGGTGACAGAAGAAATTGTGACAGATATATGGGAAGGTACTAATTAATGAGTCATATAGTGTTATATAGTTCTATATTTTTTCTTATGTAGTACCCTGAATGCTTCATGTATGGTTTTCTTTTTATAATTTTAGGAAGGAGTATATGGAAAAATGAAGGCAAAAAATATTGAATTCTTCATTGACATATAATTGTATTTAAATATGGAAACAATTCTAGATAGCTAATTTTCATACCAGGGGTCTAACACTAATTTAGCACATAGAATCTACTATTTGTGCTATGTGAACTACATAATTACCTTGTAATTCTGAGTCTTCCTTTTATAGATGAGGAATTTGAGGCCCAGAGTGGGTGAACTTTTACTATATCCAATAAAGAGGTAAAAGAAAAAAAAATAGTTACTATTTTGTATCCAAAAGGTTGTTCCACTAATGTGCCTTGTAATTCATCACTTTTGTTAAAGATTTACATTTACAAGAGAAATTTAAGAAGAGTATCCATTGCAAATAAGGCAACAATGGAAAAAGTTGCAAAACAATTTTTCATCTTACAGCATTAAAAAGAATTTCCACGTTGCAGATTTGGAAACAAAGTCCAAATAGAAACATTTAAGTCAGTTTCTCATAAATCCATGGGATAATTCTTTCCTTTTTAGACCAATATCCTTAGTATTAGTTCACCACATATATATTTTATATAGAATTGTAGAATTAGAATTCAAAATATTTGAAGTTTAATTATTTCATTTAATAAAACCAAGTTGATGGTTGTCCAACCAGCCAAGAACTATATGATCACACTGAATGAGTATTTTGTATAATTGGAGTAGTTAATACTTCTAAGATCCTGCAGGAGATCCTCAAGATCTGTAGCTCTAAATATTGGAACCAACTTTATGCCATAGAAAGAGCTCATGTTTGTGAAATACTTGAGAAAATCTGATCTCACAAATAAGGGTTTCTTACGTTTTCAGGCTTGGGTTGTATCTCAGTGGTAGAACAGGTGCATGAAGCCTTGGGTTTGATCCCTAGCACTATAAAAAGCAAACAAAATTTCACTGGAATTCTTATGTTTTTACTTTTTAATGTAAATACCAAAAAATTCTCTAAGGAGTGCTTGAATGTACAGTATTTTAAGAGTTCTCCAGAAAACCTCCTTTATTTTAAAATAGTTTAGAATAGTTTGTCTATTCACAAGTAAATGTAGTGGATATAAGGAAATTTTTGATAATTGTACGGTCCCAGAGTCATAATTTGGACTTTTTCAGTGCTCTTAAAACAATCTGTATTTTAAAATGTGTTTATACTTAGCTCTTCTACTGGACTGTCAATCCTTTAGGCCAAGGAACTTCTCTTATCCATTTTGTATCTCTCACTGCCTTGCTCAGATGATATATATTATTTAAATAACTTATCTGCAATGCTTATTCTAGAATAAGAGATTGATTAGAATGACTATTAATCTTTAGAAAATGACATTTTAAATAATTCCCTGATAACTGTGGTTTTCATTTTTCTATAAGTTTAAGACTAATTAGTTAAGACTAATTCTTAACTTTGGTTGAGTATATGAGATTTCAGTAAGTAGGGATGTAAGTAAGTTAGAGTATGTATCTTAAAGACCACTCAGATATAACTAACTGACAGTTGAGAAAATCTTAACATGTTCTGGTGATTGAATAAAACTATTTTGTTTAACAGGTTAAACAAAGAACTTTGTATTCATATATATCAACACTGTTCCATTAAGATATGCATTTGCTCTATTGATAATGATACTTGAGAAGAAAAAATCTAGACACATTTAGTTAGTTATACAATATTAGTAAAATGATAAAATATCTTCTTAATCTTTGAGGTGATCAATCTGTATCAAAAGTGTGAAACTTATTACCTTCTCTTATTAACAGAGCTAAAATAATTATGTCATAACATTATCCAAATCATTACAATGTCCAACTGATATGGAAGTTATTCTTAATTAGATAAGCTTTATTGATATGTGTGTTCTGCTCCTGCCTGGGGCACAGTGGACACTGTTGTCTTTCATGGAACCAAAACATATTTCATATTCCTGGCCAACCCATAATGGATCTGTCATCCTTGATTATTTTATGCTCATTGTTTTTACTTCTTAGCTTTTGAGATGAGTTCCATATGTCTTCTCTGTAAAATAATCTTTTATTTGTTCCAATTCTGTATCTTTTAAACCTTAGAGAATAATCCCAAGAGTTCAGAAAGGGCTCTTAGATTTCTGAGTTAGCTCCTTCATCCCAGTGGTAGTTTTAGTTGATCCTCTCTGGACTTCCTTGAGTTTTCTGGTATCTTCCTTGATCAGAAATGGGGGGAAATTATATGCCATTGCGGTGCTTCTGGTGTTTTGATGTACTCTTTGGTTTCTTTGCCATTTCTACTTATGATAGAAAGTTTGTTGGCCTTTTAAGCTATTATACCAAAGGTTTTAGACAACTACAATTTTGGAAAAGCCTTTACTGAAGCATAATTGTTAACTTAATTCTTAAAAGGCAGGTATTTTGTTATAGTTCCACAGAGCGAATTGATTTATATTTAGTTGATATGTGTATCTCTGCCATTTTTCTGTTGGGATGCTTTGTGCTTGCCATTTCACTGCCTAGTGGAGCGTAGTAGCATTGCTACGAGTACCTCTGCTAGGTGCACTACCTACACTGTGGATTATGTGGGTCATAACTAGCTCTAAGTATATATTGGGACAGTTTGATAGTATTAAATATGTAAAAACACTTGTCATAGAGCCTAGAACAAAGTATGAATAAAGTGAATGACTTGTTTTTATCATTAGCCCTTTGTGTGTATGTTCATATGTATAAACTTCATATATAAACCAAAATGTACCTTCTGAATGTCCTGAAAGAAAGTGTGAAATAGGTTCTTTGATTTTATCTTTGATTTAGCATGCCTGCCATTTTCCTGATGTCCTTGCTTTTTGGTCTTGCATGTGGGCAAGCAATATCTTTTTGTATTCCTACTGAATATACAATGCATATCGATAGAAGAGAGTGTGCTTATTGCCTAACCATAAACACCACCATCTGTGCTGGATATTGTATGACACGGGTATGTAATTCATCGCTCTTCTTTTATCTATAAATTATATAAACATAGAATCATTTCATTCCTATTTGGAAAAGAATCAAGATAAATCAAACCTTATTTTCTAAATCCAATGGTTAGCTCTTTTAGTAGAACATATAGTTTATAATATTTATGTGGATCTACTCAGTAAAATGGGTACAGATAAATTTATAAAAAATTTACCAAAAGGAGAAAAAAAAGAAGGGAAAAGATTATATGTATATATATACACACACATATGTATAACTATACTACTAATCTCTGTAAGTCATCAAAAAGAAGAGTTTATGTTTTCATCGTTTGAGTCATCATTTTTTCATGCCTAAATTTTGTAATCTGAGCAAATACTTTTAAGATAATAATATGTAATATATTAAAAAATTTTTACCTACTAGATTCATTTAAACCTTAACTTGCTCCCAGGATAAAGGATAAGACAGGAGCGTTTCACATTTATTTCTGTAAGATTTAATCTAGATATGTTAAATTGGTATTGGAGACTAAGACTAAGGAATATTCCCGTAGTTACGTAAGTGCATATTTCCTTTTTTATGTTTTATAACATCCTTTCATATTATATTCCCTTCTCTATTCTTTTCTCAGGATAGCAATAGAAAGACCTTTGTTTCCAGTCATGCTCGCTTCCAGAATGTGTGTACATATGGAGACTTCATCTACAAAACTGTGGAAATACCAGGATGCCCACACCAAGTTGCTCCTTATTTCTCCTACCCTGTTGCTGTAAGCTGCAAGTGTGGCAAATGTGATACTGACTATAGTGATTGTATACATGAGGCCACCGAGACAAACTACTGCACCAAACCTGAGATGTCCTATCTGATGGGATTTTCTGTCTAATTTTAATAATGATATAATTTGCATTTTGGTTAAGTGTGCTTATCTGGAATAAAATAATAAAATATCGTTATGTTTCACAATACCTTGTATACATTTTGAGTACTATTTCAACCATACCCACACCTACATAGTTATCAGAGAGTTTGGGAGGTTTTAGAAGAAAAGGTGAGTGATTTGGGATTTTCATATGAGAAAGCAAAGTGGAGGTAAGATGGAAAGCGGAGACATAAAATGCTATGAAAGTCAGCTGTGAGAAGCTCTTCTAACAGAATTATGAAATCAATGTGATCAGAAGCTAAAGAAACACATGGTGTTTGGGTGCTAGAGACATCGTTCAAAGGCTGGAAGCTGAGCTGGAGTGGAGGTGGGGAATCAGGAATATATGAAACCTGCTACATTTAATATTTATCCTAATCATTCAACCATACTGGATAAAACTCCAAAACTCAGTAAAGAGTATGTGAACTATTTTCTTTAATTACTCTAGCGGGCCAATAGCCCTATGAAAGTTATATCCCAAAAGGTCAATTTACAAAGCCTAGAAAAGAGGCCACGATCATTTTACACGTGGAAATCTAAATCCTTCATAGTCCGTCAGTAATAGGAGACACTTTCCAGCATTGATACCAGGAGGAACTTGTCCTGTTTTGACTTTTGATATCATGAAAAACAAGTACAATTATGAAAGGTTTTAGAATGGGGAGAGGAGTGCTATGGGATTTAATGGAGTATAAGAATCCTCAGTTCTAAACCCTCATTAATTGTTATACTGTTTATTTTTTTTCCTTTTTTTTTTTTTTTTTTTGGTACTGTGATTGAACTCATGACCTTGCGGCTTGCCAGGCAGGCACTTATTTACACTGCTGAGCTAAATCCCCAGCTCCTTGTTTATCCCCCCCCCCCCCCCCCGCCCGCCTTCTTTAAATCCTGATTTTTGAGTTTGGTTTCAACAGATGCTACAAGTGAAAGATCTGTAATGCCCTGAAGATTTAACCTGAAAAGCTCATTATAATCCTAAAAAGAGGGTTATTTATCCTCTATTTAGCCATTACTCTCTAATAGCACTGCCATTACTAAGGTAAAAACCAGTTATTGGCAAGGGTTTTGGTTTTGCTGTGTCTCACAGTCAATGGTTAAATTCAGCTGGGCATCTTGTAAATGCATGTCAACATCCACAGGAGAGATATGGTACAGGTACATTAGTATCAAATTATCAAACCATGTTTTGCCAATGTTAGGAACCAGCTTTTACATACAAAAGTGTCAGGAATATACTGTACTTATTTTTATCTTAATATTTGAATAGATATTTGCATGATTTCCAAATATTAATGTGGGATTTTTGATTTTCATATCAATTGATGATATGAACACTTAAAGCTTCCCATCCTTTAAAACTGTCATCAAATACAGATTTTTGATTACTAAGTAAAAGATCTAATTTTCCGACCTATCTAGCATTAGTCCCAAATAACTTTTATTGATTGAGACAAAATCTTTTCAAGGACTTCAGTTACATAAAGGCCACATTTAAGGAGGCTCCTTATAAATAGTGTAGCTCAGAAAGATCTTAATTGTTTATTTAATTATTTAAATAGGCTTCCTCAACCTGTAGCAAGGAAGCCAGGCCTAGACGTAATTGTAGTGGGCCTGTACTATCATGAGCCAAGAGTGGGCTCAAGAACCCTAGAGTGGGCTCCTGGTAGACTTGTTTCCTCCCACTGACAGTAGTTCATTTGTATTAGATGCATAAATTACACTGAATTATTATTGAAAGTGGAGTATTCTAAGACAAAAAAATTAGGACAGAGCTCATAAATTAGAGTAATCAACAATTCACTTCTTATAGAGCCAAAACTTAGGGAAACTTTTGGAGGGTCTTGGTGTCCTTTGGACTTAAGAAGAACAGGCAGAGTTTAGAAATGGAAAAATGAAAAATTATTGCTTATGTAACAGGAAGAAACGGAAACTAGGACATTTTCTGAGGTGATGTTTAAATTCAACTCAAAGTTTAAAGAATCAGTTCATGGCAGAGGCAACTCTTTGCTTTAAAATATTCTCTCTTCCCCCCCAACTTCTTTATGTCCTGAAATACAAAGAGTTCTTTTGTAACTGGATGGATTTGGGATCAGGACAGCAGCAATCTCTTTTTTTCTAATGGTCAAACTCTTTAATAGTATGTGAATGTACTAGGATGTATATATTGGCCGGTGACAGCATGCTGATTCCTAGTAACAGGAAATTCTAGTAATAGAGGCATACATATATAATATTTATGCTTTTATTTATTTAACAAAAGCAACTTTAAGTGTAATAAAAATTATTTTATGAAGGCTATTTGTAGTGTAACCCTATTGTTTAACACTGGATTTTTCTCTACCCTCTTATTACTTTTTTTTTTTAATTTACTTTTTAAAAATTTTTTTTTGGCTTTTTCTTTTTTTATCAGTACCGGGGATCGAATTCACGACTGCCTGCTTGCAAGGCAGGCGCTTATGCCGCTGAGCTAAATCCCCAGCCCCAACCCTCTTATTACTCTTAATTATTTTCTTTTAAGTAATTTTGTCTCACTGTCTCTCTTCTGATACCCTCCTTCCCCTTTCTGTTTCTGGGCATCCATGTCCTTTCTGATAGCTGCACCTTGATTTTCCTCTGGAAGCTTCTCTGTACCCTTTCAGTTCAAGTGGCTTAAGTGGGGCTGATGGGGGTGAGCAGGCTATTCAGGCCCAGCCAAGCTTTGCTGGCTAAGAGATGGGCTTCCCTGCTGTAAAAGTCAGTCTCAAGACTATAACTATTGAAGAAGGAATGCTTGATTTGGTTGGGGTTCTTAAACTGATAGAATCAGAATTTTGGGGGCTATTTCTGTCATCCCTTGAGTAATAGCCCTTCCTCACGACAATAAAGCCCAACCAGAAAATCAGAGGTGAGCAAGACAAACTGAGGAGAGACAGACTTATTGGTACCACATGAGTCTAATCTGAAGCCAGCTTCATTCTTAAACTTTCTTTTTCTGCTTAACTCATTAGAGTGGGGTTTCCGACATTTGCATCTGAAAATCATGCCCACTAGTGTTAGAATCTTTCCCACTAGTGTTAGATGTTCTTGATTCCCTCCTATCTCCATCAGCACGTTCCTGTTTCCTCTTGTATCACTTTTCCTACCTCCTTTCTTTGAAACCTTCTGTTTAGTATTAAACATTCTTCGGCCTCTTCCCATTCTAATAAAAATAAAATAATAAAAAAAGGCAAAAGCAAGTGAGCAACTTTCTTGACCCCGTGCAGTGCAGCTTTCCAGTTATTTACATCTTTACTTCTTGAGTGCTTATTCCAGGCTTTTGTGAACGAATATCCTGTACTAATCATCTGTTTCCTCACTTCTCAATGTCTTTTCAGTTTATTACAATTTGGTTTCCATGCCCATTTTTTTAAAACCGTTCAGTAAGCAAACAGTGACTGGCATGTAGTCCAATACATAGGACACCTTTTAACCTTGATTTTCTCTATTTTCCAAAGGGCCCAGTGCAGGTCACATATCTGCATTCAAAATTTTTTATTTTTATTTTGTAACTTGAACGACTATTTCTAAGATAGCAATATGTAATTTATCCACTAGTGATTTCTTACTGTTTTTTTAGTTCTGTATTATTTCTACAGTTTTTTTGTTTTGCTTTTTTTCTCTAAATAAAAAAATTAATATTGTTAGAGAACTTACAATTAATCATAAAATGGATGAAATCAGCCTTTTTTCACTTTTTCATGCCTTCCCCACTCATCTCTTAAGCAGCTCATTGGTATTTATCTGACGACAACAATTTGGACTATTCTTGATAACTGATGTTGTAGAGGTGAAAATTCTACGTTTTGTAGAAGAGGGGTTAGAGCTATATCATACACTTATGTGTCTTATTGGCACACAGAGTACTGTTAAATGTAAGACAGGTCAGAAATTTGGGTTTGTGTTAATTTAGCCTTGAATGTCCTAAATAATTATATCCATTGAAGTAATCTGAAACTGGCTTCACCCTTAAAGAAACTTTAAAGGAAAGAAACTTTCCTATTCTGCTTAACTAGCTGTAATCTTTAGGAGTTGTTAGGTGGAAGCTACTGAAGAATAGGGACAACAAAGAGACCTTCCATCCTGAGAATAAGACATGGGGAGGGGGTAAAGGATTGTTGTGGACTTTCAATTTATTAGAATAGAGGATTCTAATTTTTAAACTTTAATTTCTCACTGGGATTTAATCATGAGAAGTGGCTCCTCTTGTTCAAATATGGGTATTATCACTTTTATATAGATTTCTGAATTACGGATTTAGTCTTAACTTCTCTGAGCTTCAAAAACATCATGTATCTGGTGTCTGTCTGTATTTCCTCTTGGATGTCGTGCAGTCATTTCTTACATCACCATTATGATCTGCTTTTTTTCCTGTCATTGTTGTTTTCCTTACCACAGCAGAAACCTGGGGATTATTCTGGATTCTGCTTTCTCCTATTCCTCACATCTAATTTCTTTTAAAGCTGTCTGCTTCTTGGTAGGGTTTCTAATGGATTATAAATTCTCATGACACTGGTTTTGCCCTACATCCGTTCCTCACAATGAAGTTGAGTGATCTTTAAAAGATTCAAGTTTGATTTTGTAACTCAATGTTTAAAAATTTCCCCATGACCTCAAAACAAGATAATACTTTTTAGGTTTTGTAGGGCTCTCTATCTGCTGAGCTCTTGGTATGTCACCTTTGAATGCTTTCTGTTTCAGGGTCTTTTTGCATGATTTTCTTGGAAATTCCTTTTTCTTTCATCACACTATCACTTTTGACTTGGTTGATGTGAAAGTTTTTTGAAAGTTAAATTTAGAGACCCTAACATCTAGGAAACTGCTCTATCATGACCACTCTCCCCAAGTCTCGAGTATGCCCACTTTGAGTTAACAATTAACATAGTACTTATTTCATGGTAGTTCACTGGCTTGCTTTGCTTTACTCTAAGCTCCTTGTCTCACTAATCTTAGCATGTCAATATTCTTATAAAAAGTTTTTCTTCCTATAATTTCAGCAGCTGGGAGGCTGAGACTGGAGGATGGTGAATTTGAGGCCAGCCTGGGCTATACAAAAAAATTTTTTTAATGCATAAAATAGAAATCCCAAAGTTAACACACACACACACACACACACACACACACACACACAGAGTTTCAATATTAGTGTGAGCTTCATCTTTCAAAGTAGAGCAACCCATAGAAAAGTATAAGATTCTGGCTTTGCCCATTGACATCAAGTTTTTAAATTAGAACTGGGAAATGTATCAAAAGTTACTCAAAAAATGAATGTATTCATATAGATAGTTGGCATCATACAGAACTATATTCAGTTTTGCATGATTTTTAGAAAACTGACTTGTACTTGACAAAATTCTCCTTTCCTACCAACACAATAATTGTAATAGTAGGTAATATCACTAGTTGCCAGGTATACTATGTGCTTCGTATTAGTTATAGGGGCACTTCAGTTCACAAGTGCTTTTGTTGGTGAACAATTTGGTTCACAAACAGAAGCATTTGGCAAAATTTTGCTTTTGTTTACAAACCCTGCAGGTGACGAACATGACTGCAACTCATGAGCACAACTGTGAACGTGGTCATCTTTTCCAGAATCATGGAACAAATTAAGTTAATGAACCAAGGTACCAATGTATTTATTTTAAGTTTCTGCTACTTAATGTAGGTAGAAACATTATAAATTATATAGGGGAAAAAACTCACTTAAATACCAAAGCTTTCTACGAAATCAGGTTATATTTTGCAACATATGCTTGTACTATTCTTCACGCTCTCTGTTTCCAGGGGTTAGCTCTCTGAATAGTAGATACTGTATGTATTTAGCCTTTGCTGTTTTAATAATACCAGAAATTAATAATGTTCTGTTCTTATGTACTCTTTTCACCTTTAAAATTACAACTATAAAATCCCTTACATATAAATTTTCTAGTAAAAAATGAAGATTCCTGTTGAAAGAAAATAGAAAACTTTTGTCCCTCTTAAAAATATACATTAACACACATTTGACTTTGATGAAAGAAAACTGAGGTAATGCAGCTAATCTACTAGCTTCAAGGGCCCAAGAGTAGTCCCTCTTGAGGGTATAGAAAATGATGTTGCTGAAATTGAGGAGCTGGCACTCAGACAGGATTTCAAGGAAGCTATGAACCACTAAAGTTGGGGTTTAGTAGACCTGCTGGAACTCCAGTGATTGCCCTTAGGGTCATGGACACTACCTTTACCTGTGACAGATGGTGGTTTTCTTTTTAGTCTTTGCTAAACTTATTTCAGAAGGGAAAAATGCTCTTTCCTCATGACCATCTTCCCACCAGCCTCCTTCTCATCTATCCAAACTTATCTGCACTATTCACAGGGAAAGAAGAACAATTATTGTGGCTGACTGCACGGAGGACACAATACACCAGACCCTGGACCAATATGCAATTTTACAGATTAAGCCGTGGATATGAAGGAGCTATTTTGGAGAAAAGAAATAAAATTTCAATGAAACAATATTAATTGAAATTCAACTACATGCAATGAAAGTCCTTAGGATATTGCTTTTATGTCCAGTTCCCAATAATGTCTGTTTCATATATACTTGTTATACTATTTGGGTTCACACTGGTAGTTGGACATGTAAATAAGTTGTATAAAGGTCTATAGAAAAATATATTACAATTTTAAGATGAGCAATTCCAGTATATAGAACATTGGTTTGAAATAATTAAAAATATTAGATCATTAAGATATTTTAACCTATGCCTTGGCACCTATACCTTAAGCAAATGTTTGAGTTTGATTTCAAATTAGTACAAGTAGATAGAAATAACTTTATGTGAACATGTATTCAAATTGTATATGTGTATCTACTCAAGAGACATACAGTCAAGATGTATATGAATTTAACATATACAGGGATTTTATATACATACATAGTGCTATATATTCATACACAGATATATGTAAATATATATTACATATAAATATATATCTACATATTTATACAAAACTACCTTTGTGGTGAATGTGAGTATAAAATTTACCTTCACTCAGTGGTAGAATGCCCTAATTTTACTTATGGGACATATTTTGGAAAACTTTGCCCTGAAGAGACACACTAATCATACATTAAATAGATCTCTAGTCTCTTACTTTTTAAAAATATTTAAAAAATATGTTATTTCTATTCTTCCACTTTTATCTACTGTAATCTTTAAAGTCATTAGCTTTGAAAAGGAAAGCAACACACTTTTGTGGAGCCAAAAATAATTCTGAGCTAAAAGATCGTAAGTATGTACTTGAGCATTTTTCTTATCTTCAAGAAGAAAGATGAGCTAAAGCTACTGACAGAATTGGGCTATTCTTTGCTTAAAAGGTTACATTTGTGGGATATAAGTGATTTTCTTTAAAAAATCTTTCTTTACATACAGACACAGCATGCATAATTTAATGGTCTTTTTTGTACTGTGAATCAAGCTCAGGACATCACATTTATCAGGCAGGCGCTATGCTGATAAGCTACATCTCCGGTTTTTTCATAACGAAGTTTGTAGATTTCTTCCATTCTATTTTTTTTTTTCTCCTAGAAAGTTTTCTCCAAAGTTAGTAGTAGTAGCAAGTACGGCCAAAAGAGAAATGTGGTGTTATGTGGGGATAAGACTATTTCAAATATTTACGTCTTTTCAGCAAAATGTTTTATAAGTTTCTTGGGAGCATGGCACTTTCTCTTCCCACACACCCAAAGCCTTTTGTTCTTTCTTCTGTAGAAGCCTTGTCATTTGGAAATTTTCAAAGTCTCTTATAGCTCCACTTTTGTGTGGTTTTTTAAAATGCAATTTAAAAACATTCATGATTTACTAAATGTAACAAGTTGTTAAACATTACTGACAAATATGCCAATTTATGTCCTAAATTTGGATTACCTATTTATAATAAAAAATTAAGACCAAAAAAGACTAGAACATTTTACTTTTATAGGAGGCTTGCACAGAAAAGTGTACCTGTTTTGTCTATATGTGTGTATACATATGTATTTGTTTCTTTAACTTGACTCTGTTGTGTATATTATATACAACTAGGAAAGATTTTTTTTGTTTATTGTAGTTTATCCAAGGATGCTCATAAAATGATACCTGAATTATGCAGAACTTTTATTTAAGTGGTGAAAACTGTAATTCTAACTCTATGAAGAATTTTCTCGATGAATAAATAAGAAAACTACAAAAATTAGGAAAATACTATAAACTTAGGTTGTGAGGTATTTCAAAAATACAGTGCTAGTAAAAATACTCCTTTCCAAAATTTGCAACTGCCAAATTGCTTTAGTTTTTCTTCTTTAGTTCTTGGAGAAACACAGAAGAATTTGGGATAAAAGTCTTTTTGAGAATGTGAGGGTACAGTGTTCAGAGCAGAGTCAGAAAGGGAAAGAGATAAAGCAATACTTACATGTCTTTGTATAAGAACAAAGACATTTCCTTAAAAAGTCCTTAAAAGTCTTTTTTTAGTTCTAAAAATCTCTCAATTTTATAGAACACATGATTGTCTATGTGTCTATTCTTTCCAGAGCGAGGTTTTTTTTTTTGTTTTTAAATATGAGGAAAGAATGACTTATTCAAATTAGATTTTCCACACTGTATTTAGTTTTACAGGTGTTTAGTTCTAAAACTATGGTTTACTGAACTCTCAGAACATGTATTTAAAAAAAAGTCCAGGAAATCCTTAGACACAGTCATTTTTAACACTCTATTGGGACTTCTTAATTCCTGTAATTTATTGCTTCCATTAACTAGAAATCCTTGAATTTTCTGTGTCTAATTTTCATGGCTAATGTCGAAGAAACTGGTCGATTATTGTATCTTAGGAATAGCCAGTTTTTTAGTTTCTTCAAAGATTTCTGGTCTTTTTCTATTAGATTGTTCCTCTTACATAAGAGAACTAGGAATTCCAATAAGCAGATTTCATTAGGTGTAATGCATTAGCAGAAAGATACAGATTACATGTGAATACATTCTAAGTCAACATACACAAGCATTTGCCTAGGGGCAAACCATTAACGATCCAAACACACATACATGTGCAAATGCACAACTGACAGCAAATTATTTTACATCCTAATGTCCTCTGAATATTAAAAATGAGCTGAGAGATAACTCTTTTGACATTTAGTATGAAAGCTTTAGAAAGTAATTTTCATGATGAAGTAGTTTCAAATCACATCTCGTGAGTTTCGTATTGCACAGCAAAGGACCATGCTGAATATCATGCCAAAGATCTGAAACAGAAGGAACCACTCGTTAGTGACTTTCAAATATGTACTACTTGATAAAAGAAGTTAGAAAACTGCATAGCTCTCTAACTCAATAAATGAGTATAATCAATAATTATTGGTTGTGAATGTCATTTTTATATGTTCATTCAGGGTGACACTGGGTAAAGACTTTATTATTAACACTGCTTAAAATGCTTTACTATGTTATTATTAACAAATAACAGGGTCCTGTTTTAAGAAAAGGGTCCAGTTTTGAATTGTCATGAAATAGTGATATATTACTGGTTTTGGAATTTAATATTTTTGAGGTTTATCCCAGGTCTCTTATATATTTGTTTTGAAAAAAATGTGTTCATAATTTCCTGTTGTTTAAATATGTTTATAGTCTAAATAATTTTCTATTGTCAGAAAAGCTTTGAGTATTACCACAATGATCACATATTAAAAAGTAGGGCATCTCCTCATTTCTGGTCCATTTCTAAGTGCAAATGATACTTCACTGGTTTTACACAATAGTTTTACCAATACATAAACTGAAGTGTTTGAACTACAGTATTCTTGGCTTCTACCTTTTGGATAGTTGTCTGGGTAGCAAAATAGTTGGGTGAAATCAACCTCTATTCTGTGGTTTGAATGGAAGTTTACTTCATTTCAGTCATTTCCTCTGCAGTTTTGCTGTCTGTGGAACCCTGTTTATCTGTGCTGTTTATAAACAACTGTCATTGTTTGTTTTTTAATGTTCACACAGTAACTCTTTGATTTGCTTCTCAATCCAACCCTAAGTCAGAATAGGATCAGAAACGGCCAATACAACAAGGCATAAATGTTAGTTGTTCTAGAAGGGCAAGAGCAGATGAAAGTAAGGGGATAACCAGGAACAAGACTTCATGCTGCTGAGTGGTGAAACTCAGTGTCAGTCAGTGTGTGGCAGAGGAGACACCTAATGGACACTTGGTAAAATGATTACACTGCAACCTGTGCTTTACTCAAAAAGAACTAAAGAAACTGTGAAGGTACTGATCCAGAAGCCAACCTACACATTTTCCTTTTACTCTGTGTTACAGTTTGGATCTTAAATGTCCCCTAGAGGCTCATGTCTTGAAGGATTGTCCCCAGCTGATGCTACTTTTGGGAAGTGGTGGAACCTTTAGAAGGCGGAAATGAAGTCACTGGGGATGGGTCCTGAAGGGAATAATGGAACCCTAGCCCCTCCTGTCTTTTACTTCCTGACCACCATGTGATGAGTAGTTTTACTCTACTATGCACTCTGCACCATGGTATGCTTCCCTTTATGATGTTTGATCTTGCCCATGGCCCAAAGCAATCAGATAAAGTGGCCACAGACAGGAATTGCTGAAACACTAAGCAAAATAAACCTTGCCACCTTTTACATTATCTCAAGTATTCTGTCATAGTGACAGAAAGCTAACAAACCAAGGTTGTAAAAGGTTGCTTACAACCTCTACCGCATCCTGGTTGTACTCTGAAGGAATCTCTCAGGAGGAAAGTTCTTTAGTCTCAGCTGTGCCATCATGAGTCAGGGGTAACTGTTTTTAGGCTACTCATTAGCTGAAACTGTAGAATACTATTATATAGAATGATTTCAAACTTTTGGCTTCAGGATTGTCCAGAGGAAGCTTCAGAATTGCAACCATGCTAACTCCAGAGCAGGTAGAGTCTGAGACACGCCCTTGGACTCAGAGGTTCTCAGCATACTATCTTTAGCCACTGCCCAATCCCTTTGTGCTCTCAAATCAGAAAAGGGGAAAGTCCTGGGTCCCCTAAAAAGTACCACTTTATGGATTTCCTCCCCATTCTCATGCCCTGCCTTAGTATAGGCCATGGGTTAACCTATGTAGAAGACTGGCGAGTAAGTGCTATTTCATCGTTAGTTATCATCAGCCAGCCTCTGGACGGTAGAAATCACCTCTTCACCAGCATCTTTTTCCGCATCTGGTCTCACTTCAACCCTTTGATCCTACATCACAGGTCTTTCTATCCCTTAAATGCTCCTTTCTATCTCTTAAGTGCTCCTCTCTCTGAAAATTAAATCCAACCTATCAGAAGGCCACACAAAATACTCAATTATGTGGATCTGAAATCCTCTCCAATGCCATTTCTTGCCATTTATATCATGCCTCACTGTGGCCATCTGTTCTTCCTATACACTCTTTCTTTTGTACTTTAGAAGTACTGAGCCACCTACAGGTGCCTGGTACTCTATGCTTCCCTATATGCTATTCTCATTACCTGGATTTAGGTTTAGGAACACTCAAAGTATAGAGCAAGCTGGTATTTATTGCTCCTGACATTTTCAATGAATTACCTTGTATGATAACACACATGCAGTAGCCCATTTAATGTTTACATAAGTCTTAATTTGGCATTTTAAAAACTTCACCCAGGTGTATTGATGAATCCCTGAAATCCCACTACTCTGGGCACTGGAGCAAGAGGATTGCAAATTTCAGTTTAGCCTGGGCAACTTAGTGACTTAGCAAGACCTTGTCTCAAAATAAAACGTAAGAAAAAGGGATATGTAGCTTGGTACAAGAGACCTGGGTTCAATACCAGGTGCCACAAAAATCTCCATTTTACAATGAGGAAACTGAGGTACAGACAAATTGAGTAACAGAGTTTGAAAATGAATATAGATCATGTGATGCCACAGCTTAATCACTATACTTTGCTGCCTCTTCAGATCATAGATTGGCTGATACGTTATTTTGAATTGAAAATCACCTAGATTAAGATTGGTGCCTTAAAATGAAAAGTTATTACAAGGATAAACTCAGGTTCATAATTATGTCAGCATTGAAATATGTAACCCTATTTTAGAGGACTAAGATTGATGTATTTAATTAATTTTGTTCTTAGAAGATATCCTATGAACAAATGTCCTTATCTTTTATGAAAATTATCTCTTAAAATACTATTATCTCACTTCAAGAGAATCAAGTGCAAAGGTTCAAGGCTTTTAGAAGGCAAAAAAGGTAAGTTCTGGGATTTTCTCACCGTGAGACCTGCAACTCCAATTCCAACAATTCCAATAAGCTGAAGCTTAACACTGATTATGGTTTCAATTTCATCAATGCAATTCTGTTTTGGAAAAAGAAAAGAATAAAAACAGATTGTATATATAAAACAATTTTCTCTCCCGATCAGTTCTTTCTTTGGTACATGTAATCCTGTGAAAGTTAATCCATGTCAGCCTCTGTTCATGCTTACTTTTAGGTAACATCATTCTGATAACTAATGTAGTTTGGAGAAAAATGTAATCCTTTCCTTTTGGTGGGAATTTTCTATTTAGGCCAGTTGCGGTTTAAAAACCCTGAAATCTAGCTAAGGAAATTATTTCTCTAGGATCTGAGATATTTTAAAATTTGAGACTTCTTTATACTTTTAGCAAAGAAAAATAAGGACAATAGCCCTTGGATAACACATTTTTGTTTTCACGTTTTTATTTAGAGTTTAAAAGACTTTCTGTATACTTACTCAAATTTATTATGCAAAGTAGATATTACCTACAAGTAACTAAAAACCTTGTACAGGTTTAAACAAAGGAAAACCATGCCTTATAATAAACCCAGGTCTTGGGAGTTAAAGAATCATTCTCTCTTGTAGTGGCTGTGTTGTGTGGTAAGTCCCTGTCCTTATTCCCCTAGGGGAACCATAAAGCAGTATTCAAAGGATCTTCACAGATATGGAAAAACTGGATAGGGAGCAGATTAGGTCACTTGTAACCCTTAATGCTTCACCCGTGCTATGATTTGAAAGCATTCCCCAAAACCTGTGCTAAAGGCTTGGGCTTCAACCTATGAAAAGTGGCATTTAGTAGAAGAAAGTTAGGTCATTGGGGTGTGTCCTAAAGAGAGTACTGGTACCTGGCCACTTTGTTTTTTATTTTATTTTGAAGAGAATAAAATCAAATGAAATAAGACAGAATGCAGTTGATTAAAACAAAACAGTGAAGGTAGTACAGGACTTCAAAACAAATCTAAACAAAACAATGAAAGCAATAGAGGACTTCAAAGCAAGAAAACAACAGTGGCTACCATAATGCCTCTTGTTATCTTCAAAGTAGCTGCCTATACGATCAGACATAATACAGTCAAACAAAACAAAATAAAATAAAATCAATCAAAAGAAAATAATGAAAGCAATATAGAACTTTGAAACAAGATAATAGGAAATCAATAATGGCTACCATAATATATTTTGTTATCTTTGAAATAGCTGTCCGTGCCATCATCAAATATAATAAAATCAAACAGAATAAAACCAAACTAAACAGAACAATGAAAACAATACAGGGTTTCAAAACACTATAATGATACAATGGCTACTGCCTTCCCTTTTTAGACATTTTCTCCACTTTCACTTTCACAATATCTACTGTGCATTTTGGATTCCACTAACTCCTTTAGTTTTTTTATACTAGGGAGACAATATGATGTTCACCATTTCTGACCATTTAACCCATGAGCATGGTCTCAAGTTATATCTATTTACCTACAAGAGTCTTGGGATTATCTTTCTTTATAACTGAGTAGCTTTCCATTGTATAACAATGCTGTATCTTTTGTATACATTCTGCAGTTGATAGACAAGCTACCCCTAACTTTTTTCTGGTTCCCTATCACATAGGGCATTGTTCTCTCTCCTCGACTGTCAGTCTATGAATTTTCTTTTGAGTTAAATGTGTTTCTTGCATGAAGTATATCGATGGATCCTGTCTTCTGATTCATTTTGCCTGTTTCTTTTTATTGGTGAATTGAGGCCATCTATATTAATGGTTAAGGCCAACATGCACTGGTTCGTCTGTCATGTTATTTTCCTGCCATTGGCTGCCTATCTTTTCCCTCCATTCATTTGTCTGCCCAGCTTGGTGATCTCCTTCTGCTGCTGGTCATTTTTATCACTCTCTAGAATGTCCTTCAGTATTCTTTGTACAGTTGGTTTGGCAGTCATGAATTCCTTCAGCTGTTCTTTGTCATGGAAGTATCTTGCTTATCCATCAATTTTGAAAGATAGTTTTATAGGATCCATCAATCTGGATTGGAAATTGTATTTTTTAGGACTTGAAATACTTCACTCCAAGCTCTTCTTGACTTGATAATTTGTGTTGAAGTCTCTTGTGATTCTGATGGCTTTTCCTTTATAGGTGATTTTTTTTTCTCTAACAGCTTTCAATATCTGTTCTTGTGTTGAATTTCTGAGATGGTGATTATTATATGTCTGGGTGTAGATTTATTTTGGTTATGGCTATCTGGTGTTTTCTATGCCTCACTTATCTGAATGTCACATACTTTTCCCATGCATGGGAAGTTTTCTGCTATTACTTCTGTAAATAGACTTTTTATGTCATTTGTGTTGACCTCCTGCTCTTTCACTGACACCTATTATTTTTCTTTGTGTTGTCTTGCAGCCTTTGAATTCTTATTTCCTGGTTCCTGGCCATTTTTCAGAGATCTTTCCTTTCACAATTGCAATGTGAAAGTCTGTCTTCAAGGTCTGAATGCCTATCTTCAGTTTCTTTCAACTGGTTTTGCCAGTTTTCAATGGAGTTTTTAATTTCCTGCATATCTCTTTGAATCTCTTTCCTGTACTCTAAATCTTTTTTATATTGTTCATTCAAGTTTTCCTTCATTTTCCTATGCCTTTCTATTTTTTTAAATCTATGTCTTCTTTATAGATGCTTAGCAATTCTTTTATTATGCTTTTCATTTCTTCTTTTACCTAAGATAGTAGTTCTGTTCTAATTTGTTTTTTTTTTTTTTTTTTTGGTCTTTTTCGTTTTTATTGGTACCAGGGGTTGAACTCGCGACTGCCTGCTTGCAAGGCAGGCGCTTATGCCACTGAGCTAAATCCCCAGCCCCTCTAATTTGTTTTATAGCTTCATGAAATTGTTTCTTTTCTTCAGTTGCCATCACTTCAGAAACTTCAGGTGTGCACTCCTGATCTCTTCCATATTTACATCTCCTGGACTTGCCTTGCTTGGACCGGAGGCCAGAAACTGTCTTTTGCTTCTTTGTCTTGATTTTCCTGGGTTCTTCTGGGAAAGCAGGTAGTGGGGTCCTAGGTACTTCCTGCATTAGCTACAGTTCTCCAAAGCATGACTGTTTGGTTCTCTTGGCCAGTGCTAGCTATGGGTATCTGAAGGTGGCCATTGGGTGTGCTGTTGTGGAGCTGGCTGCTGCTTTTCTCAGTCTGCACTGGCTACCAGAAGCAGGAAGCCTTCCTGATGGAGGCTGGACATTGTGTGGGGGTGGGGCTGTCCACTGCCTCCCAGACCTGAGCTGGTTACTGGCCAGGAGCCACCCGGATGGTGGCTGCAGTGGACCCTGGCCACTTTGTTTTTTGTTTTTTTCTCTCTCTGTTGCCAAACCACCATGAGGCAGACAGGAAGTCTCTGCCCTGTGGCCCTACTATGACATACTATGTTTCCACAGCCCCAGAGCAACAGGGCCAAATGACCTTGGACTGAAACATTGGAAACTGAGCCAAAATAAACCTTTCTTCCTTTTAAATTGATCATACAGGTATTTTGTCACAGTGATAGATTCAAAAGCGTCTCTTTGGAGTTCTCTTAAGGAGAAGCATGCTTGTAATCCAACTACACTCACCTATATCCTTTGATTTGTTCCTAGTCAGCTTCCTCTGATACCTTAGAAGTTACAGGAAATCCTGAGAATGCTTCTCACATTTCCTTTCATGCTTGCATGAGGCAACAAACATTTCTTGAATATCTACCTGTGTCAGTCACTGGAATATGCTGATGGACGTGGGAGGCAAAAGACATGGGTTTTTCTGTTGTCAAGAAGCTCAGTTTAAAGAAGACTCCATACAAAAAACTTACAACACAAAAAACTTTGGAGACACTTCTGTAGACACCAGGTCCCTTATGTACTGGAGAAGATGGGAGTCAACCTATATTTATAGCATTTCTTCCAATTTTTGTATTCTTTCCCTGTGCTCCTTAAATGCTTCATTTTTTCAGTGCTAGGCACTGTTGTAGGTAGTGAGCAAACAAAGGACACAAGGGAGCTCCTCTCCTGGCTTTTTTCCCTCTTATTAGAGCCAAAGAGGTGCCCTTTCCTGCTGAAAGTTAACCTCTTTTCTCGTCTCTTTAGGAAGTCCCTGCTACCAGCTATCTTCTGTCCTTCCTATACATTCAGCCTCTCCTCCACTGTCATTTTCCCTCACTAAATAACACCAGGTCCAAATTCAATCTAAAATAAATAGTAATACTCAAATGTTGTCCTCCTCCAGCTCTGCCAGAGTGCCTATTTTCCTTCATAGACACCGTCTTCTTGTGGAAAACAAACTAATCAAACATGTATTGACTTTATTTAGCAATAAACAAATGCATGATCATTGAAGAAACTTAGAAAATAAAGGTTTAAAAAAAGAAAGTAAGAAACAATTGTACTCTTACCAATAATTCACACAGTCAGTGATTCTTACACATAGAAACATTCTCTGCTGCTTAGTATACTCAGCTGTGTGCTTTCTAAACGTACAACTTCAAAAATACCTTGTTCTACTAAAAATTCCTTGAATCCATGACTCTTAATGGCATTTCACCATGACTCTAGAAACATTTCATCATATGAAAGTACCATAATTTATTTAATATCCTATGTTGTCACATATTAGGGAGCTACCAAATACTTTGTTCTTAGGAATAGCACTGGGATGAATACCATTTCACAAAACTTTCCACATTTCTGATTCCTTCTCTGTAGAATATATCATGAGAAATGTAGGTATGGCCATACATAACACTGTAGTCTTAGATAATCTTATTAACCTCTAAGACTATCAATTTTTTTCCTAAAAAAGCTTATTTTACATCATTCTTGCCCAATCTGTGTGTGATTATTAAGGAGAAAAAAAACTTGGCTGATTTCATAGGAATCTCTTCATTTAAATTTGCTATTAACTTTTAAGATTACTTTTAAGTGTTTACATTTTTAATGTGCTTAGTGGTAACTCGTATTTCATGTTTTATGAAATCTCTTTTTATATCCTTGGCCCAGAGTCAAATACTTGAAAGAGTGCTTTCTCTTCTCATATCTCACTTCCTGCAGCATGGGCCCTGTCCTCAGATCCAGTCTCCAGTTACTTCCTTAAATGCTAAGTACTGTTGACTTTTCAGTAGTTAGTTTAGTGGCCTTATTGGACATTTAGTTCCCCAAGAAATCATGTTTTCAGTCTCTGTGCCATTGTTCCCACCGTCCTTTCTGTAGGCAGGCCAATCCTATCCCTTTAGCGGAGACATTACTTGCAGTCAGCATTCACCTGGTCCCCAAACCTCTGGCTTATCCTAAGCGCTTTCCCTCTGTCTTTTACACCATCACAATTCAGCAAAACACCATCCTTGCATACTTTGATTACTGCATTGTGGCCACTCTGGGTTCAGTTCTTCTACTAGACTGCCAGTTCCTTGTCAGTAAGGACCTTTTTTTATTCACAGTGCTGGATACAAGTCGCACTATGGATCTGACTTCTATAGCAGCATCTGGCCTTGGTGATTATCACCTTCTCCACCAATACCGCCTTCCCATTAGTGTCTCGCTACTCATCTTTGCTTCCATATTTGATCCCTGATTCCCCTTTTGAGCAGCCTTTGATGTTGTTGTTCCTCAAGGTTTTAGCCTTATACTTACTTTCTTCTAAATCTCATGGATCAAATTCATATCTGTAACTTTAAGATTCTATAAGCAGCCACCACCACTTGAATCTCTTTCCTGAAACACAAACTGGATCTTTCAATTTCCTTTTGGATATTTCCACTTGGAATATTTTATGGCTTCTCAAAAATCACCATGGTAAACACTGAACTCATTTTCTTTTCTCTGAAACTGGCTCCTTCTCCTCTACTCAAGTCAACAAATTATGCCATCAACTACAAAAGGAAGTGGCATAAACCCAGCAGAACCACCCCCCCCCCCATACCTAACTTGTTATCTATCTGGTAGGTGTTACCTTTTTTCCATTTCTGTTGCTCAGTTCAATTTGTCTCAATTAACATTTCATGGCTGATAAGGAGGAAAGAAGTCTTCCCTGTTCTACTCAGGTTCAGGCTGTTCATTTTCCATCATTCCTCCACATTGCCAATACAGTCACCTTGATAAAAGGCAATCCTATTCCAGATTCTACTTTCTGTGGTTTCCTAAGCTAGCAGCTGTTGGCTAGACTTCTGTCTTCATAAGGACCTTCAAGAATGGGTTCCTCCTCTTTGAAGAACTCATTTCTCATAAGTACCAAGGCTTTCAGTGTCTTCTAAATGCTAATATTTACCTGAATATGAGCAAGTACTTTCTCTTGTCCCCATGCCTTTGTCTTATTCCCTCTGCCCAAATTTATTCCTTTCTTCCATTTGCTTTATGAACTCCTATTTATCCTTCAATTTTCTCACATCAAAGAAGCCTCTGGGGACTCTGGATGAGTCTCCTATGTTCCGGTAATGGAGCTTTAACAGGTCTGCAAGTCTCCACAACCAGGCAGGAACACTTTGAGGCAGTGCTGTGCCTTATTTATTTCATCTAGCTCACTAGGACCTCGTAAGTGTTCAATAGTAATTTGTGACATAAAGTGGAACTTTATATTATCTTCTCTTCATGACCAAATGCTGAAAAGCATTGATATCATTATTTCCAAAGTCTCACCATTCCCTTTCTTTCCATGTTGTACTTGTGCCTCATTGACACTGTGGACCAAGGTCACTGATGTACTAAATCCAGCAAACTGTTTTTGACTTACTTTTACTTGTATTCTTCCCAGCCTCTGACTTTAGGGACAAATCATCTTCTCTTTTGGCTTCCCAAATGCTGCAGCTTGAAATCTCCTTTACTCGATATCTCTTCACAGGCTCTTGTTCTGGGTTCTTTTCTTCAGCTTAAGCAATAGCATCCTTAACTTTTCCCCTAATTTATACATATTCCCCGGCTATTCTCAGTTGTTCCTATGGCTAGTAGGAACTAATCTGCTGAGGTTTCTACACCTGTTCATCCTTTAGACTATCAGTTAGTCTTATAGGAACCTAAAGTACAAACTTTATTGCAAATAAAATTGTAATTTGATCCTAGGATTGCTCCTTTCATTATATTTCCGTATTAGTACACATCCAACCAACCGAGCAGATGTGGAAACTTCAGTGTCCTATCTTCCACGCACCACTTATACCCAATAGCTTACCTTGTCTTATGGATTAGATCTCCAGAACATCTCCAGAATATCTCACTCCCTCCCCTTCTCTACTATTTGTTGCTTGCTTTGGCCCCTTATCTTTCCTTACCAGGTGTAGCATAGTGATCTCTCTCTCTCTGTTAGTCTCCACCCTTCTATTTGACCCTTAACATGTGACACCTTAAGTTTCTTCCCACAATGCAAAATTAATTAGGTTTCATTTTCTGCTGAAAACAATGGCTTCCTCAAGCCCCTAGGTTTAAAATTATGCCTTTACTCGCCTCTCCCAAAATGTTGCACTCTACTCTCTATGGATTCTCTGTTCTCCTGTAGCCCTGGAGTTTCTTAAAGCCCATGCCTCTGTTCCTGTTGCTTTATGAGCCCAGAGTGACCCCCCTTTGTCAAAACTCAGCTCAAGGATCTCTTCCGTTATGAAGCTTTCTTAATTCTTCTATGTGTCTCAGGTACCATGTGCAGATGCCTCATACAGCTCTATAGCCCTTGATTAATCTTCAAGGTTGCTGTGGGAAGGGGCCATGTCTTTTTTGCCATGGGGTGGCATAGTGCCCACTTGACACAACATTTAGTAAGTGAAACATTTATTATTTCTGTGACTTCCTCAGAGACATGTGTAGGGGCTTTGTTCCTGGAGGACACATCTCTGAGCATGGTGAATTTAAATGCATAAGCATGTGGCATCATACTAGCAAGTTAGCATACCATTTTTCCCCAGGGCACCAAGAGATTGACTCAGCATTGCCTTGCTTATTTGACACAGAATAAAGTGAGGCTTAGAGTCCATAGAGAGTGTCTCCTAGAATCTCTCAAAGGTGTCTCTGAGGCTCTCTGCCTTCACCTGAAGGCGAAGACTATCTCACAATACAGGGAGTGGGTGGGAACCCTGGCAGAAGCTTACCTTGTGAACTAGAAGATCCTTTGGGCACGTAGGTTGGACCTGGTCAGAACTTTCTTTTCCACAGCACTGAAACTAGAAAGTCAGAAAAAGAGACTTTAGGACACAGGAGAGGGAAGCAGTGGCTACAAGTCTGGGCATTGCTGCTAAGCACTGGCAGTGCCAAGATAGCTAAGAAGATACAAGGCCTGATCTAAGCAACCCAAACTGCTATTTCAGGAAAGAGTAAAGAATCACATAATCATGCTAGCAAACCAAGAAACTTTCCTAAAGCTGTCTGAGTTTATGACAGGAAGTGACTCAATTCAACCTAAACAAGACAAGAAACTAATTGACAGTGTCTGTTCAAACTGATTTTTAGAAAAGAGTTGGGCCTTTAGAGTCCTTCTTTTAGACTGGGAGACCATACAACTTACTGAGGAGCTAAAGTTTTATGACCTTTGGAAAGGCCTTATTACCGGTAGTACTGTCTGGGAAAGAGAGAAATGATCACAGTAAATGTCCATGCTGGAGGACTGACTAGCAAACAGGTGTCTTGCTCCATTGTTGGCCCTTTGAGACAAAGGAATCTGTGTGCTGCTTTTTGTTTCTGGGACACTTTCCAAGATATTTTTATGACACAGAGAAACTGGTTACCTGAAAATACTTGGCCCAGGAGCTCACAGCTACTTCTCCATATCATAATATTTAAGAAAACAGAAAACAGAGCAACTCTGGCCTGGCCCATCTGTTTGGTAAACGAGAAAGCAGCTTTCTGGCTTGAAGTCCTTGCTTGTTTCTATCAGATCCACAGTGGCACCCAGAGGGAACCTGACACTATCTGGGCTGCTTTCTTTATGTTCTTGTACATGCTCTTTTGTCTTTTGTGGGCACACCCCCTGACTTCCTCTTATCAACTCTGTGGTAGCCCTTTTTTGTCTAGGGTTTTATATTGACAAAAACTGTGGCTCTCACAATGGCTAAAATAAGAGGCTGCTGCTTGCCTTTACTGAACTTATTTTTATTTTGAATCCTTCATGCATAAGCTTTAGAAGATGAAATTTCAGCAAGAAGTAAAGTTACTCACTGCTGAGTGGAAGGTAATGAGAGTGCCATTTCCCCTTTCCCGGTCCTTAAAGTAATCATTATAAGCCTCTTCATACATGGTCTGTACATGTCGTATAGCCTGAAAATATACCAAGGAAAGTGAGAGCACGGCGAGTGGGGAGTTTTAAATGTTCTCTTTTCAAACACAGAAAGTCCTTTCTTCCATACCTTTCATATGCCTTTCCATGTAACCATCTGTATTTTAAGATGATTCTGAATGTATGAAGCAGAATATAGATCCTAGAGTTTCCAAGATGCTTTTGATGATGAAAGGATAGACTAACCAAGAATACTTTTCATGGACAAGATAGACCTCTTAGACAATGGAGGTTTCCAAACCCAATACTATTTCAGCATCAACTGGACCCCAGATTTCTGGGCTTCAGCCAGGGGATTCTGATGCATAGCCAGGGTTGGAACCTTTCATAGCCATTCACTAGTTAAAAGAATTCAAGTCTCTTCATGACATGGTTCAAAAGTTGTTCATTACCAAGGATGACTTTCTGAATTTAAATACCACAGGAAGCTTAGAGGATGCTTTCTCTAGTATTACAAAGGTGTATGAATCCAAATCCACAGAAATTCAGATGGTCCTAAAATCTAGTTTCACTTTTATATGGAGCTGAATTTAAACTAACCTATGACTATAACCAGCCACTTTAGAAAAATTTCAAAGGAAGCAGCATTTACTTATTTTACACATATTTTAACAAGTTCAAACACATAACACTGATGATACACAAATTAATCTGAAATATAGAACACTTAAGGTTCCATTCTTTTTCCTTGTCCTTTCCATTCCTTTGTGTGATTGTTCTCCTAAAAGATCACTTCTTCTGTGGGTTCCCTGATGACCTATTTTGAATGCCAAGGATTGGACAGCAAGCTAAACTGTCTTCACTAGGACACAGCAGGCCAGGGCTTTGTCTCTGAGGCTAAGCCTTATGGACAAATGACAGCCTGAGAAGAAATGATAATGTATGTTCTTTCCCATCCCCCCTTTTTATGTCTGTATTCTTACCTCACTTTGAACTGTGGATAATCTTAAATTAGAGATACTTTAAAAAAAAAAAAAACCATAGACCTCTTTATAAGTCTATGACTTATAAAGTCAACTTTGTGAACTTGTTTCCTAGGAAAATATCCTAGGAATTTGTAGGAAATTCCTAGGAATATGTAGATATTTTCCTAGGAAAATATCTACATATATATTTACACACACTCAAATGCGTACAAATGTGCATTCTGTATACTACCTTTAGGTTAAAAATTCTGCTTATACTATAATTTGAAGAGGCTATTTAATTTCTTAATAACATTATGAGTCAATATTCTCGTATCTTTTGTGATACAGTAATTTTTACTTACCACACTCTTGCCTATAAAAGCAAATACTCCAGTGGTTACTTCAGCAGCAAATATCACCAGTAGGCAGGTAAAAAACTGAAAAAGACAGAAAATACTAATTTCATTAATTTAATACCTTTTCAATTCAGTTACCTGTTTTGAACCTAGTTCCATTGGAAAGGCCTGTGACAAGGTGATTAGTATGAACTGACTGATTAACAGGAAGCATTTGCCTCCTTAAGTTTCTTATATGCAACAGCTGAGTCACTTTAATGTAGTTTATTCATCCAGCAATTGTTTGTTGACTGTCTATTCTGTACCAGTACTGACCTTGGCAATAATCAACAAGATCTTAATGGACCTCATGTTTGTGGGGGGAAGACATAAAAATAGTAAAGGATTAAAAACGTGAATAAGCCTGGGTTTGGGGAAGAGTGTAACAGGAGCCTCGTGGTCCAAAAGGCTTCTCTGAAGACAGGGAATTGAAATGTATGTGCAGAGAATCTTTCTAGACATACTTTTTTCAAGGTCTTGGGTTTGCTCTGATCAAACTAAGTTTGGTCATAAACAAGATAGAGAGATGCTTAGCAGGGGAGAAAGACAATGAATAGATACTGAAACAACTTCTGTGTCATACATAGCAAGTGAATAGAAGCAGCACAGAGTCAAAAAGTCCAAAGACTGCAATGAGTAATGAGAAATGAGAGGCTGTCTCATAGAAATGCTATTTCAAAGTACTCAAGGAGAAATACAGAAACATTATCTCTTCCCATCCCTGTTCTTTCTGTTTGTTTCTCCTAGGCTCCATTGACATTGGCTGGATGGCAGTAAACCGAAATCATTTGATTTTTTTTAAACAGATGCTTTAGAGGTAAAAATAAGCCACCAGAGGTATATTTGGTCAAGTTACTGATCTTAACCTGAATGTTTTTCTTGTAGACAATGGCTCCTCTCTGGCAGTAGGAGTCATTTAGCTACCTCACCCATAGGGAAATATCATTTTTGAAAGAATAATCATAATCTCTTACAATTGCTAGGCACTTTTCCCTTCCAAACATCTTTACCCTAATGACCTCATTTTCCCCCACACTTTCCACATGAGGCAGGGACTAAGATAATATTATTCTTATGCAAGAGATGGAGAAACCTGAGACTTGGGGTGAAGGAGGGGGTGTCCTGGGTTCTAGTGAATCCTGGAGGGTTTGGTGCTGCAAGCTAGGCATCCCAAGTCCCTTCAAGCTAGTTCTTCACCCTCTCCCCAACCCACTGCACTCCCAGTGCCCTACTTACTGATCCGAGCACACACTGTGACTCCCGCATGGCTCCGCAGCACCCAAAGAACCCCACGGCCATCATTAGGGCTCCAGCTCCAACCAGCACATAGAGTCCTGTGGGCAAGAAGTTGGGAAGACATTCAGGGTCTCACTGAGCAAAGCAGCTACTTTCTGTCTCCCCAGGGTCAGAGCACTGTCTCCCACACATGACTGGGCTCTAGATCCTGGACACTGCAGAACATCTGGCTGTCAGTCTTGTGAGGGAAACACTTACTGAATGTTTGCTGAACACTTCACGAAGAGTAGTTCTTGAAACCTATGTAATGATTTCAAGGGAGGGGCTTCTAATCCCCAATGTATACAGAAAGGGATCAGAAACTTAAGGAGAAGAAGTATATTGCTTGAAGACACATGGCCAGCAAGCAGGGAAGATACGTCTGCTGGTCGTCCAGAGCTAGTACACTGAACTGTCACCACTACCTCCTATGGGCCAGGCACTGTGCCTCAGTTTCTACACCTTTGCATGGGGAAGTACTATCATCTTCATGAATGATGACACAGAGTACAGAGGTGGTCAAGAGCTGATGCTAGAGGTGAGACTCAAACCCAGGGCTTTCTTCTGAGCCTCAAGGCCTCTTGTGCTCTGGACTTGATCCATCTCCATCTATGACAGGCCTGAGGCCAAGTGTCTGGGAGGGAGAAGCTTCCCAGGCACAGAACAGGAAGCTTCTGGGAGAAGGTGAGACTTGGGGCTTTTGGTGAAAGACAGGACCAGAGGACATGGCAGTAAGACATTGCTTGTGTGTCCTTTCCCCTTCAGAGGGTAACAGCATAGACACTGTATCCATCGGAAGCTGTGTTGTAAGAAAACAGCTAAGGAGGGTAGTAATACTCATCAACAATATTATCAGCTCCGGGCTCTAACCAACTAAGCTAACCAGTGATGAGCAATGTTGTTAAGAATGAAATATTAGCTTATCACAAGTAAGCCAAGTGCCAGGTCTCCATTGTGTTTCACCTAATCTCAGGAGCAGAGAAGGGACATGTATGAAGCTGCATTATTTTCAGGCACTGTTCTGTCCATATAGAGTAGGTTTATTAATGTAACTTTCATGGAAGCCCTATGGAGTATGTACTATTATTATTACCTCCATTCTTTTCACAGAGGAAGGAGTGCTCCCAAAAGTTAAGCAGTTTGTCCAAGGTCACAGAGCTGGTGTATTTGATAGAAGTGGCTCCTTGCCATCACAGCACCCTGCCTCTCTAGCAACAGCAGTCTTAATTCAGCTGGTGACTTCACTTCCTACCTAAATCAACCCCGGAACATTTCTCACTGAGAATAAAAAGGGCAGAAATGATCTGGCTTTCTAGAGTCCAGCCAGGCCTTCCCTGATTTCCTCCTCTGATCCCGAGATAAGGTGGAACACAATATGAGACCTGGCACTTGGCTTACTTGTGAAAAGCTAATAGTCTCTTTCTTTTTTTTTACATTTTACTCAGATGAGTCACCTGGAAACTACTCCTGCTCGCAGGAGGTGGAGGGCTGGTGTTCTGCCTCTTCGGGGAACTCCTGAGCCAGGCGTTCAGGGGCTTCCTAGACTCTTTGGCCCACAGTGGTTTGCGGGCACGCCTCTCAGCTCACAGACATAGATGGAGCTGGAGGTAAGGCTGCTCTGTTTCCTCTGCTGCCCCACCCAGCGCCCGCCAGCCTCAAGGCTCTGCTCAGCCCAGAGGAGGTGGCAGCTCTGCAGTTCCAAGGGAGGTGCACACTTCCTCCCACTACCTCTTCTCCAAAGCGGAAGCTCATGGGGAATGGATGTGGCAACAAGAAAAACAGTGTCATATTAAAAATAATAGTAATGTTGGCTTCCCTGCCTGAGTACCTTACTGTTTTTAATAATATGGTTTTCAGAACTCTTGTACTTCTATTATTTCATGGGTTGCTCCAAACAACCCAGTTAGCAGGCATTTGTTTACCAAATAGGGGTCAGAGAGGTAAGATGGCTGGCAGCCTGGAGTCCGGATTCTCACTCTGTACTCATAGTAATGGTCTGAATGAAGGGCAGCAACAGCAACCAGCATGTATTCAGTTCTTTTCAAGCATGTCCCAGGGGTGGACCATCATTGTATACTGATTTCCTGTCTATGTAGTTCACTGCCTCCCAACTGCTGTGTGATACAATGACAGCTTAAGAACCAGTCCTCTGAGTCCTCATCCATCCCACACTCCAGCCACAGGGTATCACCATAATTATGCTGTTAGATGTCCCCCCCAAACCTCCTAGGGTTATAGGTGGGGCTTTTTCAGAGGTGGCTGAATTTACAGTATGTGATCCCGGGATGAAGAGTGTGTGATTACTAAATCAGTTGATTGGTTTGGCACTTCCTTAATCCCGGTAGTTATAGAGTGTAAAAGGGGCAGAAAGAAACTGCTGAAATCTCTGCTTTCTTTGCTATCTTCTGCCCACCATGAACTATTTATTCTCTGCACTGCATGTCTGCCATGCCAACCTGCTTCGGAACCAACCAATTATGGACTGAAACCGCTACAAACAGTGAGCCAAATAAACCTTTCCATCTTTTACTTTTGGGTGTTGGTTATTTTGTCTCAGCAATGGCAAAAGTAACTAAGACACTGACTGTGCCCTGATCTTTTCTGATTTGTGCTTTTGCTGGTTTCCATGGTGTAGATTTCAAGTCCACAAAAAAACCTTATTTGTCTTCCCTAGAATATGCCAGCATAGGCAGAATTCTATGTGTGTTTGTTGGTCAAATTAACAAAGAGGTTAAGTCAAATCAGAAGTTCTTGACTGGCTGTCTCATTACCTATCTTTGTTCACAGATACATGCTTGAAATCTAGTTCAGCTACTATTTATGAAGCCACTATAATTGGGGCTGAGTTTTGTAAGGTTGAGCAAATGAGAACGGAGCCTCCACATCCTAAGAAGACCTGGAAAAAGAGAAAGAAGAGTGCTCTAGAGCAGACTTGGGCTCACTGGACACAAAGCCAGGGGTTTGAGGAGACTGAGACGCTCCAACGGGGCAAAGAATGCTTGGTCTCTCTGGCAGTAATCCTTATCCTTTTGAAACAGTGAACTCTCCAAGAAAATATGTATAGCTAAACAATATCCATGCTTGGGCTCCCAGAATCCCAGAGCTGATGGCAAAAACAACGTAAAACTACCCTAGCAGCTCCACTTCTGAAGCCTCTTCTTAGTAAGCATCTGCTAGAGTCTGCCATGGTGGTTCCTATTCCAAATGAGCATTTGTACACCTGGAAAGAAATCAAAACTCTGCAGTGGTAAAGTTCCTTGGGACTAATGAATCCTGTTCCAAATAAATCTGGTTGTAACATTCTGCATAATATAAGGCCACCTGTGGCGTCCAAGGATACCTTATCCTTTATGTAGTCTCCCCCCTCCATGAATAAATTAATGTGCAGCCACATTTTAATTCACAGATGGTCTCTTTAGGGCCTTCTGCCTCCCACAGAAGCATGCATGATAGACATATGACCTATTTCCCAAATCCCTTGTGCTTTCTGAGTCCTATTTCCTTTGATCTGAAGAGGGGAAAAAACTTTGAAATTATATTTTTATCAATTAGTTGAGCTTTGTAATGCCAATGCTCTCTAGGGATATGTTACCAACAAGAAAGAAATGCCCCTGGGATGACTTCCCTGATGATTCCATCCCTTCTTTCTCAGGCTTTAGATGCTTCTTTTAAAGTAAGTAGCATCATTTCAGCTAATTCAGACCCGAGAAGGCTTCTTAAAGGCTTGCTGGCATAAACTTATTTTCAAATGGCTTCCCCTTGGAGGCCTGGATACTGGCATGGTCATCGACTTGAGTAACTTTTGTCAACAGATAGTTTTTATATAACCTGCTAAAAACCATTTTCAACTAGAAATTTTATGCTTCTGCCTCCTTCCTGCCACCCCTTCTCCCACCCACCCTCCCCAAATACATATAATTATAGTCCTGCCTTAGTACACATGGGCCATTAGTTCTAGGGCCCCACCCCAGAAACAAAATCAGTGGATATTCATGTCTCTTCTGTAAAACAATGCAGTATCTGCATAAACCTGGGCACATTCTTTCACACACTTTACATAATCTCCAGATTCCTTATAATACCAAATATAATGTAAATGCTATGTAAATAGTTAGTATACCCTCTTGTTCAGGGAATAATGGCAAGGAAAAAGTCTTGTGTTCAGTATGGATGCCTTGCTTGGGATATTTTCAACCTGTGTTTCAATGAATCTGCAACCTGTGTTTCATTGAACCCATAGGCCTGGGGGCTATCTGTATGTAAATATCTAGAATACTAGTGAGACTCTCTTAGCTGAAAATCTGCTTATTTTTGAATGGAAGGAAAGTTCTTCAGCTTTTTTTTGAGAAAAGTGCTTGAGGTACCTACAGTTGATTCCCGGTCTTCCTCAAAATGCAGGGATAGGAGCCAGAAATCAAGGCTTGCCAACCTCAGCTATATGAAATTTTTTTCATTCTTCAGTGTTGCTATCTGCAATATGGAACCAATTTCTTATACAAAGCTTTGGAGAGATTGTCTTAACACTGCAAGACAAAGTACCTCTCTGTAATCCAGCTACCATGGTTGTCAGGTACAACTGAAAACCAAGAAGTTAAAGAATATTACCAGATGAATCAGTTTTTTAAAAAACAAGCCAGCTTCTTAATGTTCAACACTGGAATACTTTTCTTATACCTAGCCGCCAGCCACAACCCAGGCCAGGCTCTGGGTCTCTGAATTTCATGGGGAGAGCCAGCTGCAGCCAGGCTGGGACCCTGGAGAGCCAAGTGGCTCCTGTTTGTGTGGGCAACCCCTCCACGGAGAAACCTGCTCACATCCTCTGCTCGCAGACATGACCTCATGCTCTCCAGCACAGTCTCCAGCCTCGCGAAGGCTGAGGGGATGGCTCCCCACTCTGCGTGCCTAGAAAGAAGACCCAGGCAGGATCCAAAAGCCAGCCCAGAGACAGACTTTCACAGGAAGTCGAATGGACAGGTCATCGGAATTTAGATGATGTGCGGGCTTCTCTCAAGCTTTCTCCAAGAGACTAAAGTGGAGGTCTAGGAAACCCCAGTAACCT